CAAGTAAAGTGTGTGCTGTTTATTCATCGTTGAATTTATGTATATATCGCTAACGAATCATAGACACCTACTGTAGAAGAATCTTAAGCCCAACAACTACATAGTATATATTTATACTATTAAGAAATATAAGTAAAAGCCATTTATTTCGACAACTGACAAAAAGAAGAACTTATATATATATATATATATACAATTTTAAAATCTGACAATTAACATGTTTCGGTAAAAAAATCACAAAGAGCACAAGTACCATTATTACATCATGATTTACAGCTTCGACTAAAGAGTACAAGTATAATTATTACATCATGATTACAGCTTCGACCAAAGAGTACAAGAATAATTATTACATCATGATTACAGCTTCGACCAAAGAGTACAAGTACAATTATTACATCATGATTTACAGCTTCGACCAAAGAGTACAATAATAATTATTACATCATGATTACAGCTTCGACCAAAGAGTACAAGTACAATTATTACATCATGATTTACAGCTTCGACCAAAGAGTACAAGTACAATTATTACATCATGATTACAACTTCGACCAAAGAGTACAATTTTTACATCCAGCTTTCATGATTACAGCTTCGACATTAGCAAATCTGTGAATTTACTCACCTAATCTGTTTCTATAGAAACTGCTTCACCGTTTGCTATACTATTTCTAACTACTAGCGTTTATATGATGTTGCCATCGTTCTTCTATTCGCATGGAAATACATTACACTGAAAACATTCCATCAGCAAAGTAACACACAAGAATGAAAAAGCAAATAGACATGATTTTATCACAAACCTTTTGGCTTTCAATAATTTCTTGTTCTTTCTCTTCACGCCGCTGACGTTGACGAGCTTCAGCCTGTTGAGACAAGTAGTTGTGGTAATCAACAGTTTCGTCTGACTTGGCCCGTCTGATATCTAGTTTCTGTGGACAGAAGTTCAAAATACCATATAGATAAATCCTTACGTTTATCTACTGGATAGTTCTAGTTTGTATTCAGCAAAATATACAAGGGTTGGGTGGGGGAGGGGGAAAATAAACACCCATTGGAAGTGACTTGTTAATGTGGTTTCATCTTTGGCTATTCGAACTATTTTTTAAATGGATGTTTTTATGTACACAAAGTTTAAATGGATGTTTTTTATTTAGACAATTATTCAAGTGCATCAGCGTTGGTTTTTTTTATTTTGGTTTATTGTGGACAGTATGTAATGATACTGAAGAACCCTGAGTACAAGTGTTGAGAACTTACTTTTGTTCGTCTCCTGATGATACTTAGTAACTCAAAAAAAGAGAAATGATTTTTATACTATGACAATTTTTGCATAACTAATCTCCATTTACAAGATTCTGGGTGAAATCACGTCTTCATCCATATTCCTTTTTTTTTCTAAGTGCACGTGCATATTTTCAGGCCAGGTCTGTAACACATCTGTCAGGCTGCTTGTCAGTATAGTTTCCTTTCTGCAGTTCTTGAACCATTAAGAAGTGATTGGTTTATAATGATTAAAACAAAGAAAGAGCTCATGGAGGAAGATCATAGAGAACGATCTTGTCTTCTCCCTTAACGTGTTTTCATATAGTTATTTAACTCTATATATATTTGGCCTAGTTGTTAACATGCCGAAATGTGAACCCTATGATTCACGGTTCACGTCCCGTCACCGCAAAAATCGGACCCCGCACTTTCAGGCCGTAGGCTAGTTATGAGAGAGGCGGTCAAATCCAGTTATTCGATTAGAATAGCAAACAGTTGGCGGTGAATGCTGTTGACTTTCTTTCTTCTCTCTAGCCTATCAGTTTTTTTTTTAATTCAGGACGGATAGCGCTGTTTTAGATTTATACTGCATGTCTTAATTTTTGTCTGGGCGTGGTCTAGTGGTTAGCATGTCGGACAGTGAATGGAGGGCTCAGGACGTGATGCTGCTGAACACAGTCCACACTTTCAGCTGTGGGCGTGTTGTATAACTGACAATCAATGTTGTCATTGGACTCAAAATGACGCATAAAGCCCCTTGTGGTGGCGGACTGCCTTTCCTCTGCCTAGGTGTTCCCAATTTCTACGCCTCTAAGTTTCTCTGATCTGGCCGTTTAGCCCAGAAATGCACTAGAAAAATTCCAGTTCTGTTTTAGTTTCTTATTTATGGGTTGTTTTTATTTTATTTCATGTTGATGCCTTTTGCTTTATAGCATATGTAAAATTGGTTCTATTCGAAATGTGTTTGTTTAGAAGCATGTTTTAATTGTGCTTAGTTTGTGTTAAGATGCAGATATATGTGTTTTTGTTTGTTTGCGCGTACGTGATTGTCAGTTTTTGATGTTGTAGTTTCGTGTTGTTTAGTTGTGGGTTATGTTGTATGTAATATTTTATTTTTACTATTCCCCTGTTTTTCTTTTCTTGTCTCCTTTTGTAATTTATGTTCTTATCATCAGGTTCGTCTACTCTTCCGGTAACCTGTCCTCATTAAGTCACATTTCTTTCCTATGTTGCTTGACAACTAACTGGTACCAGAGCTTACCTGCGTTTAATAATGGTCTCAAAGTGGGTTCCTCGTCATCGAATTATCTGTGTTTAAATAATACAGATCACCTGTATTAAATGTCATTGGGATACGCTATAGTTTTCAGGACAAAGATCCCATACTAATAACTGTTACTAAAGGAGAAAACCTAAAACATCAGAGATAAAAGATGCTCATACAATTTAATAAACTTCAAATGTTAAAGTGTATGTAAAATGCAGCTTGTAAAAAAAGATTGTGAAGCTGTAATCAGTTAAGATATTTCTAGAAATAAAATAAGTGACTTCTCGAGATTTCTGCAATTTCTGACAAATAAATACACGTAGTGAAATATAGTTAAAAAAAACCTTCATAAAAGAGAAGAACGACTCGCATGCACATAATTTGAGATATGAATTTATTATTGAATATATTGGTAAAATTTATTACATTTTAATGGCTTTAATAAAATAGCAATCTAATTTATGATTCAAAGCTTGCTTGCTGAATAATGAAATATTTTATTTTCGGTGTTATTTTGTTATTATTAGAACTGTATTTAGTTATAACTGTTTGTTCACCTGAAAGACACCTTATACACACAAAGGGTTAAATGACTAGGTTAGAGATTCCTATGATTCAAGCATATTCTTTCCTAATTTTGAGCTGTGGACCAGAAGAAAGGCAACCAATCGGCATCTTGAAGTGGCTACTCTTCACTGAATAGCAGTATTACTGTCTCTCTTATAACACACCCATAGCTGCAAGTGCGAAGCATGTTTGGTAGCGCTGCGTCTCAAACCCAAGATCCTCGGATTTCCACTGACCAATAGACCAGAATCTGGCCTTCTGTTAACGAATATGATGGATTTTCGTTAATGAATATTTTAATACAACTTGTATTTAGAGAAAAAGAACACTGTTAGCTATGAAGTTACGTAATCTACAAATACGTCAGAGATCCTTAAACTACAAGTTCAAAAATCGGATAGCGTTTCCAAACTTATTATATAATATACAGGGGTTGGATAAAAAGAATAAAAACATCTGCTTAAAAATGTGCCCATTCTTCTCCAGATGTTAAATGGACTAAAACCTCAGCTGACTGATTATCTTGTTATTCCAATGGCATTTTATACAGGTGATCTGTGTTATTTAAACACAGGTAAGCTCTAGTACCAGTTAGTTGTCAAGCAAAATAGAAAAGAAGTGTGACTTAATGAGGGCAGGTTACCGGAGCCCGATTAAGAGGTGCTTTAGTGATCCAAATTGCACGACTTCTTATTAATGCAAGTGCAATAGAAACAGCATGGCGATTATCCCATAAGCATGATCAGGTCAAAATAATAATGGCTGGAAGATCATCATGAGTAAACGAGATTGCCAGACTTCATGTAAAAATATGTTTTCGAAGAATGGAATCCTATTCCCATGTATGTGTTTCTGGAACCTCGTAAAGTTTAAATTGGTGTTTATTTATGTAGACAATTATGTAGATAAAGTTTAAATGGGTGTTTATTTATGTAGACAATTATGTATATAAAGTTTAAATGGATGTTTTTATGTAGACAATTATGTAGATAAAGTTTAAATGGATGTTTTTATGTAGACAATTACGTATGCAAAGTTTAAATGGATGTTTTTTATGTACACAAAGTTTAAATGGATGTTTTTTATGTACACAAAGTTTAAATGGATGTTTTTATGTACACAAAGTCTACATAAAAACATCCATTTAAACTTTATCTACAT